AGAGACACACAAAAAGTATTGTTAGAGATGGAAGTCTGGTGGCGTGGTCTATAGTAACTTACAGTGCTACCCCAAAGGCTCTGTGGCGCTGTGGTTCAAATCCAGTATCGGCTCTTCAGGTGAAAGATGGGTGACCTCCTCCTCTATGATTGATAGTCTTGGAAACCTGATGGAGGGTTGCTATGAGTCGGGACTGACTCGATAGCAGGACATTTGGGTTTGAGAGAGTGCTTTAAATGTACGGTGTTCTTTTTTGTCATTCAGGCTGCCTCTCAGTCTCAAGTAAACCCAGAAAACGGAACCCATTACCACTGAGTCTATTCCAGCTCCTGCCAGTCCTATCAGGCAGAGCAGAACTGCCCATACGGTTTCTGAGATTGTAAATGTTTATGAAAGCAGACTGTCACGTCTTTCTTTTTTGGTTTGCCTCAGAGTGATTTCTTCCCCTTTGATGGTCTAAGCCCTGAGCACAGCATGTCAGATGGGACAGTGCCGGGAAAGGGCTGGGGCGCCTCTAACCACCTTTAGTCCAAGTCCAGCTCCAGTTCACTCTGCAGGCAGGAGGATGGCCAGAGGAGTAAGGAGGACACCTGTGGGGGTGTCTATTATCTAGAAGTATAAGGGAGATTCTGGAAGTCCTCTTAATACATAAAGGACCTGCAGGTGAAATGGGATGTTATTATGGAGGGAAATGGTTTATGGAAATGGGAAGGATCCGGCGGGCACCTGGAAATATTGGATAATAACGAGCAAGGTCCAATGGCGATTGATTTTATAAAACATAATGCATGAGAATGATTGTATGAAACACAATATGAATGAACAGTAGTGTGAAACGTAATGTAATGAAGAAAAAAAAGGTTAAAAAAAGAACAAAAAAAAGAACAGGGGCTAGAAGACTCAAATTTACCCGATAGGAAACATCCCACGAGACCTGCTGGGGTTGGAGGGACCCACAGAGAGCAGTGTATCCATGCATGGGAAAGGAAGGATAGAGGACCAGCAGCCATCAGAGCGGACAGATTTCGTGGAGTTAGGAGAAGCTTACCAGACTAATTTTCTTTCCAGAGAGTTAGTCATCTAAGAAGGAACCCTAGTGGCACAGAAGTTAAAATGCTTGAGTGTTAACCACAGGGTTGTTGGTTCAAACCCACCAGATGCTCCATGAGAGAACAATGTGGCTGTTTCCATAAGGATTTGCAACCTTGGAAACCCTGTTGGTGATTCTACTGTCCTACAGGGTCACAGCAGGTGGGTATTGAGTTGACCGATGTTGAGTAGAGTCTTTTGTGGAAGCTTGTGTTGATTTGTAACAGCACCAGTACACTGCCGTTGGTACCAGTGCTGGTTAAGGAGTGAGAGGCACAGGGCTGGGTGGAGGAAGAAAATGTAAAGGCACAACAGAGGCCTTGGATGACTGCACAGGAGCTCTGGAGCTTGCATGATCTTGCAGTGTTAAGGGAAGGTTGGGAGTGATGAGGGTTTGAAGCTCACCCTAGTCCCTCATTTCGGTGTGTGTAGAAGGTGACATGACACAGTATGGAAATTATCTATGCAGATGCTGGAGGCAGACTGTGAGGTTTGAATCCTTGCTAGGTATGTGCTCTTAGGCAGATTATATGAGCCCTCCAGTCACCCACTTACCCCCAACCCTAGTTCAGGTTGCTCCCGTGGAAGGCTGTGGCTTCAGAGGAGGCAGCTTTCTCTCTAGACCATGTTGTTATGTGTTGTCAAATTGCCTGTGACTCATAGTGACCTTATATATAACAGCTCTGAACTCTGCTCTATCTTGAGCCAATTTCATTGTCTCTGACACACCTACCCCCATTACCCCAGTCACTAAGTCTGTCCATCTCATCTAGGATCTTCCTCTCTTGAGCTGTCTTTCTACCCTTTCAAGCATGATGTCCTTGTCCAAGGACTAGTCCCTCCTGGCACCATGCCCAAAGTATGTCCGTGGCAGTGCCCCAAAAGGACTCAGCTGAGAGCCAACAGCACAAACATTCTCACCCCAGGGGTGCGAGCACCCTGGCCCTGAGGGGAGATTCATTGTATCTTCTTCCCGTTGACACATGCAGGCCAGGGTTCTCCTTTCAGCATTTATTACCACACAGGATGTCACTAAATGTCCCTGCAGAAGGGACCCAGTCAGATTCCTCTCTGACTATGTGCCCAGCACAGAGCCTGGTACAAATGGGGGTTTGGCAAGTGCCAGTCACCTCACATCTGCCCAGCTGTCCCTGCTGATGTAAAGTGGCTCACGAATCCCTCTGTGAGGAAGGGCTTGTCGTTCTTTCCAGGCTGCACCTGCAGAACCTTAACTCAAAGGCTTGTTCAGGAGGGCAGTGAAAAAGATAATAACGTAGCCAGTGTTTTCTGAGCAGTTCCTCTGTGCCAGGCACTGTTCTGTGTTCTACATAGCTGTACACATGCATTCTTTGCAACTCAGTGAACTGTGTATAATTATTTCTGGCCCTTTCTGGGTAAGGAAACTGAGGCACAGGCAGGTACAATCATTTGTCTAGGGTTTCACACCTAGCAGAGATTCAGACCACACAGTCAAGTTCCTACATCTGCAAAGATAACTACCACATTGTCCCATCACTCCTGAGTACACAGATGTGAGGGGCTAGGGTGAGCCTGAAACCATCATCATCCCATACGTATCCAAGCCTTGGAAGTGGACTGAGGCACAGATCCTGGGCTGAGTGGTTGGGTCCCAAGCCGGCTCGGAGGTATTCTCAGAGCCTGTCATTTCCAGGAGAACATCTGTCTCTGCACTTCTGGATGACTGCTCAAGCGTTCCCCTCTAGAGCTCGGGGCTCCGTGGTGCCCACCTTACTAATCTGGTCACCCTCCAGAGATGAAGCCTTACTGAGAAGTGAGTTGGAGCTGACCTTGAATTAAAGGGGGATTGAGGGACCTCAGCCCCTTCCTGACATACTACAGAGCCCACAGCCTTGGGACCAAACCCCATAGCCTCCCTGTCTATTTGGCAACAGTTGGCCAGCTGATAGAGGCAAAGCTGCCATCTTTTGCTCCCAGGGGGCGGAGAAACACAAGGGAAACTTCTAGGTCCCAGAGGAGGGGCTGATGGTTTGACTTTAACCTGGACTTGACCTCAGGTGTGTTAGTTTCTACACACAACAATTTTAACGTGGACAAAATGGAACTAACAAGGTGTTATGGACTGAATTATGTCCCCTGAAAATATGCACTCACTTGACAGGGCTGTGATTCTCAGTATTACATGATTATTTTTTTCCCATTTTGTTATCTGATGTAATTAACCTGTGTGCTGTAAATCCTAACCTCTATGATGTTAATGAGGCAGGATTTGTGGCAGTTATGTTAATTAGGCAGGTTGCAATCTACAGGATTAGGTTGTGTCTTGAGTCACTTTCTTTGAGATATAAAAGAGATTAAACAAGCTAGGAAAGAAGGACTGGAGGTGGAATGCATCATTCAGATCCAGGACCCCTGGGAACCTCTTAGGACGAGGAGACACACAGAACGTATTCAGTGCTGGCGCCCTGAATTTGAAAATCTAGTGTCCTAAACTAGATCAATAAGACACTGGTCCACAGTAAACATTCGATAAGCCAACATTCTTGTCTGAATTACCTCAAGTGAATGGCTTTAACAATGAAAAATTCATTCTCTCGCAGTTTGTTACTGTTACTGTTTTGTGTCAACTATATCTCATAGCAACCCTAATGAACAGCAGGCCCTGAACCCTGCATATCCTGAACCAACCTCACCATTTCTGACACTCTTGACCCCATTACCATGGTCACTGTGTCAATCCATCTCATCCAGGGTCTTCCTTTACCTCTGCCCTTCCAAGCATGATGTCCTCCTTCTCTGAGGGCTGGTCCCTTTTGGCAATATGCCCCAAAGAAACCCAGATTCTAGGCACCAGCTCTAGGGGAGGACTTTGTCGACCCTGAGACAAGGTCCTTTGTTTGTTTATTTTTAACATCTGTGGACCTGATGCCCCTTGGAGATCTTCATGTGTCTTAGCATCAGTTTTGCCATTGGGGCTATAAGGTTCTTAGCACAGGGGCCCTAAGTCTTTTGATGCTTGTTCTTTTCAGTATGTCCTTCTTCCATACCTTTAACCCACTTAATCTGCAGGTCCTTAGTGGATTATGAGGTCTACCAGATTCTGTCCACAACCTCTTCTGTCTGTCCTCTGAGTCCCCATCTTGGCCCCCAGGACTCCACACCCCAACTGCAGTGTCATGTCCAGATCAAGGCTCTCTCTCTCATCCAGTGGTACCTGCTGTCCTATCTCCCTTGAATGTTCTTACCTCCCCTACCCTGTCTGCTAACTACCGCTCACTCTCATATCCCCTCTGAGATAGTGCTTTCTTCAGGGAGCACCTCCTAACCATTCCTCACCACCCAGCAGGGCCGTTGTGCTGTGTGACACGGTGCTGCAAAGACCTACATACTGGTCTCTGTGAGACCCCAGTGGGCAGGACTGTGGGCTGTCTGCAGCCCCTGACTCAGCACTACATCTGTATTTTGTACAGACACTCTTGTGTTGTAGAGCTGAGCACTGACTGAGGCAGCAATGTGGTTCATCACGATGGAGACAGGAAGCAAACAGCAAGGCAGGAGGCTCTTGGGCAGCAAGGTGATGGCAGCCCCAAGCCTGAACGTGGCCTTGCTCTACAGGAGTGAAGGGAGAGGGGAGGAAGCTAAGCACTCCTCGCTGAGGGTACCTAGTGGCCGATAAAGGCCAAGAGAGCCTGTGGCCCTGCAATTTGATGGAATGTGAAATAGCCCAAAATGTCAAGCCTTCTGGGCTGTGGGCACTGAGGCATCCTTGGAGGTCAACTCCTTCTGAATCCTCTATGCTGCAATTGCAAGTATGTCACCTAGATAGGACTTCCTCCCTCCTCCCTCAGGATTAGAAGGTGCTCTGGTCTGCTACATGTGGCTGATGCTCCGTGCTTTCCAGACCTTCTAACACTGTGTCCTTCCTCCTGCAGGTGAACCTGGTATTGGGGGATGGCCGATCCCTGGGCCTCACCATCCGAGGGGGAGCTGAGTACGGGCTGGGCATTTACATCACTGGCGTGGACGTGGGCTCAGAAGCAGAGAGCAGCGGACTCAAGGTGAAAGATGCCTGACTCCCACGGGAGGTGTGGCTTGCTGGCTGTTCTGTGGGGATAAGAGAGGGTGATCTTTACAGGGAGTCTTTGATGCTGATTTTAATCAAACTTCTTGCAGAGTAATCAGCACCCCACCTGGAGGACTGGTCCCCTGGGGGAGCCCTTCCCTGACTGCTGAGCCTCTAATTCACAGTTCAGCAAAGCAGCAGGGGCTGTCCCCTCCCTCGTCACCACACCTGCCTCTCATCCCCAAGCGGTCCCCAGAGCAAGGCAGCCTCCTCCGTGGTGCTGGGCAGTGGGCCAGTTTTAGCTTCTTGTGGCTGCTGTTTTGCAAACACTGCTGATGGCTTGTGATTCCCTGGCTCCAGGACTCATTGTGGTTCCTCCAGAGAGAGGGAAGAAAAAAGAGAGATTTGAGCTGGGCTGAGCTTGTCCCAGGCACCTTCAAGGCTTATGTTTAGCCCAGTGCAACCAGCAATTATGTGAATAATATTAACTGGCTCATGTTTTAAAGAGGGCTAACTGTGTGCTCAGTGTTTGTTATCAGGGATATCATCACAGTGAATCTTCGTGCTACCCAGTAGAGGACATTGTTTTTATCCCTCTTTTCCAGGTGGGAAAACAGGCATTTTACCAGTTAGGCCACTTTACCCAAGGTTGCACGGGTGGGTTATAGGGCAGGATTTGAACCTAAGCAATCTTAATTCCAGACCCATTATCTTAACTGCCTCAATGAACCAGCCTGCTGTGGAGGGCTGGAAGTTTGCTCAGAGCTTTGGGGTGGTGACAGTAATGATGAGTGAGGCAGAGTACCTGACCGTGTGGAGCACCGGACCCAGGACACAATCATGTGAATACAACAGTAATGTGTTTGGGCTAAATAAATCCTGATGCCAGGGAGCAGCCATGGGGAGTGATGACCATGGGCATGGGTACCATTTGAGTCAGGCTTAGGAGGATACAGGAGGATGGTAGGCAGAGGGGCTGGGGGGGTGATAAGGTGCTCCTGGCTGAAGGAAACAATGTGAGTCTGCCCATAGGAGACCAGTCCTTATGTAAGGGTTAGGAGACATCATGAATGAGATTGTGTCTCTGTCACAGAGTGCCCTGAATTGTGCACTAACATGGGACACGTGATTCTCCACACAAGCAGGAAGGTCATGATGGTCCAGAGCAACTCAGGAGATCACATGAGCAACATCAGGGCAGCCAGGCTGAGGGATGGAGAGACCTGGACAGCAGACAGGATGATTATGTCTGTCTGACTGTTAGGAAGCACAGAGTGGTGGGAGATCCTCTGCGTTTGAAGTCAGGAGATTGGGTTCAAATGCTGCCTTTACCATCTTCACTTTAATAACTGTGACTTTGAGTCCTGTCATCTGTCTGAACTTCCTTTCTCTCATATAAAAATACTAAGTGACGTCTATTGCTCAGGATTATTGACAAGATGAAATGAGGTACTAACAGTAATTACAATGTTAATGTTTATTGGTTGTCTTTACTTTCTGATTTCCCATGAACAATAGCTTTTAAAAATTTAAAAAATTCTGATTAGAGTGAAGATTTACAGTGGAAGTCAGTTATCCACCCGACAGATGATGTGCATTTTGCTTCATGCAATTAATTGCCGTTCCCTGCATATAACACCACCCCTGCCGCCCCTTCCCTGTGTTTTCTTTTTTCTGTTCCTCTCTCTTATCCCCTCCTGGCTTCTGAATAAATTCTGCTCTTTTAATCGCAAGTGGTTGATGGTTCTAAAGAGAGTTATTTCCCTAGTGTTCTATTCCCATTATAAACTGTGTCTTGAGGAGGGAGTTCTTGTAGCTTAGTGTGAAGGAATTGTGCTGTCATCCCAAAGGCACATGGTTTGAATCCACCAGCTGCTCTATAGGATAAAGATGGGCAATCTCCCCTGCAATGTACAGCCTTTGAAAATCCGTTGATGAGTCAGCTGTGAGTTGGTTCTGAGTTGATGCTATTTAACAACAAAAACATTTTGGATGAAAATTGATCCATGGTGGTGAATTCAGTTCCAGACTTGAAGGAGGACTGAGGGCTACAGTTTCAGCCCATGGTTGCCTCCAGTCTCTATCTGACCAGTGAACTTGTTCTTTCTATGATTTTTCATTTTGTTCCACATTTTTTCCTCCCGATCTCCTGGGACCTTCTATGTGATGCCTTCAGAGTGGTCAGCAGTGGCGGCCGGGCCCCATCTAGTTCTGGTCTCTGTGTCATGGAGGCTGAGGTTCCATGGTATGTTAGTCCTTTGGACCAGTGGCTTCCATGCATGTTTGATTTTCTTCCTTTATCTTTGCTCTAGGCTAACGGTAGCTTTTACTATCATACTAATCATCTATTGAGCAGTTACTGTAAGTGCTTTACTCTCTTAAATCGTTTTTCCAGAAGTGTAATGAAGAAGAAATGTTCTTCTCCCCACGTTACATTTGACAGAGTAAGGCGCAGTGTTTGGCACCTTGCCCACGGTCACCCATCTAGAAGTTCTAGTGTTAGGATCTGAACTCACTGCACAGACTTTCAGTCCACGTGATAAGCACTTCAGGTACATTCAATGACTCCTAATAACAACGATGACAAACATTATGCTACCTCTTCCTGATAATGTAGATACTATCATCTCCATTTCACAACTAAAGAGATCATGTCATATCAAGTTAAACTGGCTTGCCCATGGCTACATTCTTTTAATGTTAGAGTTGGGATTTGGACCCAGGTCTCATGGAGCCTGAGATGGCCTGGTGCATGGGGAGACAGAAACCCAGGGCCCCGGGTGCCACTGACAACTGTGTGAAGGTGGGCACGCTCCTTCCTCCCTCTGCATCTCATTGTCCGTCTTTGGACAGCAGTTGACCAACTGGGCATTATGGCCTCAAAAGCTTTTTATCCTGACTTAGAAGGAGCTCTGATGGCTAAGTTCATAGAGAATTGTGCAGCCGACCCAGAGACAGTACCTCTCTGGCATTTGCGGTCCACCAGCAGCTTCTTGGGAGGGAGACAGCCAATCTTCAGTGCCGTTTACAGCCTAAGAACATCAATAGAGGGTCACGTATGAGTTGATTCTGACTCCACAGCAGTGTTAGTTGAGGTGTAAGAGGTATAAGAGAGTATGCTGTGACCCCAGAAACATATCCATCCTCTTATCCTGCAGATTCCTACAGCTACAGAAAGGTGCCAACAGAGGTAATCTTCTGGCAGACTTTACTCTTCTGTAGAAAGGAGTAGGTGGACATTACACACAGGCAGTGGTCTCTGTGGCTGCCTCTCCGCTCTGGTCAGTCAGTGCTAGACACTGGCCTTGCCCTGCAGCTTCAGAGCTCAGCAAAGCTGACAGTCTCACACCTCCTGGAGCTTATAGTTTAGTGACAGACAAGAAACCCAATGGTTTGGGGAATGGTATGATTATTGTCTTGATAAATGTCAAAATAGAGCAGTACCTGGAACGTGGTGAGCATGTGAGAGGGTAGACCAGCCCCAGACATGTATATCCTGGGAGGTTTCCTTGGGGAAGAAGAATTTCTGCTGCAGTTTAAAAGAAGAGCAGTATGTGAAAGGAGATGAGCATTTCAGACAGAAAGAACAGTGTATGCGGAGGCCTTTCGTGTTCCAGAATCCAAGTGAAGGTCAGTGGGCTGCCTGCAGACAGCCGGGCAGGGCCAAGGGGCCTTCGAGGACTGACACAGTCAACAAAGCTGATCCCATGGGCGTGTAATTCACCTCCAGACTGAGGCTGTGAAAGATGATGCGAGAGAGCCATGGTTATTAATGCGGAAGGCTGTCCATGGTACATTAATAAGTGGGACGTGCAGCCTGCAAAACCACCTATCTAAGAGGATCTCGTTTGTACTGTGTATCTCTGAAAATATGCAGAGCAGAAAATCGACTCAGTCTTATAACAAAATGTCAGCAGTGATTATCTGAAGGGGGTAAGATTATGCGTGATTTTCACTTTGTTCCTTCCGTCCAGTTGCAGCGTCTAAGCGGAGCAAATACGACTTTTATAATCACAAAAACAGCAGCACTAAAGACATTTCCATCTTGAAACAAGGCCGAGAAACAATCTCCCAGAGAAGTTTCCTAGTCGCTTTGGTTTGCCACTCAGTTGCAGGCAATCAAAGGCTTATTTGCTCATAAAGTGCCCGCCTTCAGTAAAGTCCTTTCTGTCTTCAATCCCCAAGGCAGGAAAGCACTTTATATCCCCTGCCACTGTTTTTACTTTCCCATCCAAGGCCCCTCGGATGTTCTAACACCTGCCTACACTCACCAGATATCCAGGACTGATTAATTCCATTTATTGCCAATGCACTTTCAGTGGAATTAGGCTTATTGAAATGGAATAAAGGGGCTTGGTTGTGTGGGCTGTAGAGCCAAGAACAGCCTTTATTTGTAAATAGGGCACCTTGCTGCTATGCAGAGCTTTCCTGGGGTGAAAATGCTGCTTTCTGCTTGGCTTCCAGCTGCTCAGCCCACTCAGCTCCAGAGTGTCCAATTGGGTCCAGAAGAGGGGCAAGGCAAGCCCTGACGGAGCGGAGAGACACATAGTATACCTGGGGGGTTCCTAGCACCCACCTTGGGGACAGTTTCACCCCTCAAGGTCTCTCTTATTCTATTGCACCTGCCCCCACCCTGTCCCAGCTCCAAACCCCCACTAAAGAAGAGATTGTAACCTTCTTTGTTCTTTTAAGTCCTGCCAAGATTGACTGGCATTTAAAAATAATGATAATTACAGCAGTTGGCATTGATTAGCTGGCTGTAATGAATCGTGAACTGTGCTCTGTGCTTTAGATATGTTGGTGGTGGTGTTATTGTTGTTGTTCGGTGACATCGAATTGGTTCCGATCACAGTGACCCCTGTTTACAACAGGATGCAGTCCTGCCAGTCTCCCGTCATCATCACCATTACGAGTGTGAGCCCATGACTACCGCCCTGGGTCAGTCCATCTCATCGAGGGTCTTCCTTTTTTTGCTGACCTTCTACTTGACAAAGC